AGCATTTTTCACATCAAGTTGACGAAGACTCCAATTAAAATGAGCAGCTAAGGCAAGTACTAACCTCACTGTAGTAGGCTTAACTACATAACTAAATGACTCACCATAGTCAATTCCTTCTTCTTAATTATAGCCCTTTGCAACTAAACAAGCTTTATAGCTCCCTACATAACCGTTTGCTCTTTTTAATCTTAAACACCCATTTGCAGCCTACTAAATTTTTGTGAGGTGGAAGAGGAACATGATAACAAACTCCTAACTGCTTGCCTAATCTTATGACACTTGTCAAGGCTATAACCCTTAGATTAATCACTCCTTACAGGGGTCTCGATTGGCTGCATTCCACTTCCACATAGGGGGCCTATATATGTGTTTGTCAGGCGGCTAGTCTTTTTCTCCACCCATCGCTCTCAATCACTGTATGCAGCTCTTACTCTTCGATGAACTGTGGTTGCTTCGCTTGTTCAGTAGTCAAGTCTCCGTGCTCCGACTATATGTGTGGCATTCAATGGACGATCCAATCGACCAAAAAAAAAAAAAAAAAAAACGGACGATCCAAAAACTTCCATATAGTTGACATCTTGGCCTAGTTTGCAACGTGAAACACAATTGTACGGAGAGATAATTGAAGGGACTAGAGCCTATACGACAACAGACTATCTATCACGATAATTTGCTTTTGGATAACATTGGCAATCGTTCAGATTATAGAGAAATTTTTCCAAGTGCCGGGAACACCATGACACATGGTGTTCCCTCACACATTAGGATTTGACATCTTGAATATCTTTCAATTTTATATTTCAATAAATAAATAAAACTAAATCCTAATGTGTGAGGGAACACCATGTGTCATGGTGTTCCCGGCACTTGGAAAAATTTCTCCAGATTATAGAGAAAATAATGTTGTCGGACTTAACATCATTTAATAAATATCTCATACACGTAGGTATTTCTTTTTATTATTTTGTTGAAATTATAACTGATTAGAAAGGTAATTAACCCCACAAAGGACTTAACACCATTTAATAAATATCTCACACACGTCGACATTTCTCCTTATTATTTTGCTGAAATTATAACTGATTAGAAAGGTAATTAACCCCACGAAAACTACAACATTGAGCCTAGAACCAACAAAAAAATAAGCAAGCAACACAAAAGTAAATAATGTTGTGTGAACTTAACACCATTCAATAAATATCTTACACACATCGACATTTATCCTTATTTTTTAACGAAATTACAACTGATTAGAAAGGTCATTTACCCCAAGAAAACTACGACATTGAGCCTAGAACCAACAAAAAATGGGCAAGCAACACAAAAGTAAATAATGTTGTACGGACTTAACACCATTCAATAAATATCTCACACACGTCGACATTTATCCTTATTTTTTAGGAAAATTACAACTGATTAGAAATGTAATTTACCCCACGAAAACTACAACTTTGAGCCTAGAACCAACAAAAAATGGGAAAGCAACACAACAGTAAGTTTTTATGATTCATACACGTCGACATTAATTTCTCCCAACGTTGGAATGGTATTGGAGCAGAAATCATATATAAAAAAAACATTGAAAAAATACGTGGTCGGCAGGATTCGAACCTGCGCGGGCAAAGCCCACATGATTTCTAGTCATGCCCGATAACCACTCCGGCACGACCACTTGATGGTATTGCATGAGAATTTAAAAAAAAAAAAACTAATATTCAATCAAACTCAATAAAAATGACTGCAGCAGTGAGGATCAATCTAACTCACTACACTAATATTCATAAGAATAGAAAAGAACACTACACAGACAATATAAGTAAAGGAGGGATACTTTCAGAGTTAAACATAACTATGTTGTTGATACAAACGATTTCGGGATGTGTGAGCAATGAATGAGTGTTATCTCATGCAAGTGCATGGGTTAACACTTTTAACCAACAAAGTTGTGCAAGTCCAAATCAAGCTCCAGACCACAAGTACTAAAATGGGTTAACACTTTTAACCAACAAAGATACGTGTAACTTGCCAAATACAAATATAACTAATAAAGATGGACTGGCAGCCGAGGTTCCATAACAGCAACAAGTGGGAACTTCCGAGGTGTGACCAATCCATAAGCTTCCTCCATACCCAAATCTTCCACTTTCACATTCCCAGGCAACTTCCAATTAAACCCATGCAACATGTTAGCCAAACAAGTTCTTATCATCTTCAGCCCTAGCTTATAACCAGGGCACATCCTCCTCCCCGACCCAAACGGCAGCAACTCAAAACTCTGTCCCTGCAAATCAATCCCAGTATTCCCTCAGAACCTCTCTGGCCTAAACTCTTCTGGTTCTTCCCACAGTTTAGGGTCTCTCCCCATGCTCCACGTGTTCACAAAAACTAGGGTTCCTTTGCAAACATCGTAACCTGCCACGTTGGAGTTTTCAACGGCGAGATGTGGTGGCAGAATTACAACCGCAGGATGCCTCCTCATTGTCTCTTTCATGATCGCATCTATGTAAGGAAGTTGTGCTAGGTCTTTCTCTTCTACCCATCTCTCTCTCCCGATCACTCTGTCAAGTTCTTCTGTTGCCTTTTTTATGAGGCTTGGTTGTTTTAGGAGCTCAGACATTGCCCACTCTAAACTTATTGCTGAGGTATCAGTGCCTCCAGCTATTAAGTCCTGGTTTAAATTTAAATGGACAATTATGTTTTGTAGATGGTTAGTCAAATACGAGAAATATATATTAAACGTGATAAATATGTACATATCTTACAAATATTAATAATTGAATAGATTTGGGATCATATATGATATCTCATATATACCTGAGTGAATGCCTTGATACTGTCATAGTTGAGTTTAACTTCAAGATCATTCGAACCATCAACCAGCTGCAATAGTAAATCCACCATGTCATTTGGCACAAATTCCTCCACTCCTTCCTTCTGCGCCTTGTGTTCGTTGAGCACAAAATCGTAAAACCTATTGATTTTTTTCTGCATGGCCTTCATTCGCTTTATGTAACCTTGCAAATCCAAGAAATTAAGCCATGGTATCCAATCCCCAATGTTAAACACCCCATTAAGCACAAAAAACTCATCTAACATGTCCTGAAATTCTTTGAGTGACATTATAGAACCCTCGTATGCGGCCATGCTAAAATAATCCTTACCCAACACAATTCTGCTCATAATGCTAAAAGTAAGACGTGACAGATGCTCTTTGAGCACAACCGGGTTACCTGACTTGGCGATGGCACAGAGTCGTGATGTAAAAGCGCGATTTTCTTCAACCCGAATGTACTCAAAGGATTCTAGTCTTTTGGAACTAAACAACTCGTAGAGGAAGATTTTCCGGCCTTGACGCCAATATGGACCGTAGGGTGACCAACTGTGGTAATGGAAAATCTGAGTTGCATATTGGCGTCAAGGCCGGAAAATCTTCCTCTACGACTGGGCGGGAGCCAAACCTGAGTTGCATTATAGGTCCATAAGTTTGGGATAATTTGTGAAGGGAATGATGTGGGAGAGGACCAATGAGGTTGAGGTTTCCAATTATAGGCCAGGGTTTGGGACCTGGTGGAAATTTGTGTTTCTTGAGTTGGGGAAACAAGGTTTTTGAGAAAAGGGCTAGAGTGGCGAGGCATGCCAAGGTTAAAATTACAGCACAAGAAAAGTACTCCATTGTGTGGATTGTGGCTGCAATGGTGAACGGTTGAGAGTTGTGATCTTATATTGTTGAAGTAGTAGGTGGTTACTTGATAACAGAATTAAAAACTTTATCTTATTTAATGGATGCAGAAGATTCACAGGAAATATATATATATATTTTTTTAAATACACTACTTGTGGTAATGGAGATATTTGCATAGATGGTATTTTCAAAATGACTGCCAAAATATTTGCAGAGATAATGTTTCCCAATTTTGTTTTTACGCACCCATCTCGTTGCAAACAGTGAAAGATACAAGTATAGGATAAGCCACTCGTCAAAGATTCATTCTCCACCTCTCCTCCTCATAAATTTCTAAATATTTTAAGAAATTATTATTGGTACTATAGAAATGTGAGCGGATGTGTGATATCACTTTTTTTACACAAGTTTTTGTAGTACGACCGTAATATTGGACAAATAAAATAATCATTAAGATATTCATTTGGAAACAAATACGGTTCCACTAAGAACCTCTAAACCCTTAATCAAATAGTCGTAGGGTTTTGGAATTGGACATTTTTGGTAGATACGATATTTGAGAGAATACCTAAAAGATAGACAATTCGAATTGTTGAAATACCTTACAGAGTGGGCTACACAAAAACTTACACAACAAATTGTGTAAAAAAGTGATGTCACACATCAATTCCTTAAAAATTTAACTATAAACTTAAAATTTTTATGGTAAAAATAAAAAATACTTATATGAGAAGTACGCAATCAAAATTTCAATGTGTCAATAATAGTTTCCGTATTTTATTGTCAAAACACTTTAAAAATATTAACTGAATGCTACATTATAATTCTGAAAATAAAATGAATGAGAAATGCTACACATGCAATAGGCTTAGGTACGTTGTACGTACATGTCCTTTGTGCTAGGTGATGTGTTTTCTGTTGAGAATGAGGGGATGAACCTTGCATGGGTTTATAAGAGGTTTGACTACTCTCCATATTACCAATTGATTTTATGATGGAACTTCAACTTTCTTCAATTTCTCCAAACCTTAAACCCATGTGAGCAGTGACGGATCTATTAAGGGACCAGGATGGTCCCGGGACCACCCGAAAGCTTGGATAAATGGGCGTGAGGATCCTCAAGGACCACCCAATTTTGGGCAGCGGTGGAGAAGAACAGCAGCGGCTGCATGCTGTGCAAAACAGAAGGAGGAAGAAGAAGGTCAATTTTTTTATTTAAAATGACTTGGCTAAAACGACGTCGTTTTGAGGCAAGTCATTAAAAAAATTTAAAAACTCACGTGATAGAACACTTACCATCTTACAGAATAGTAATCAAATTCACTTTACCATTAATACCTAAGCCAGCCGATTCGCCGAAGTCACTAATTGTCTGCCGCTCCTGTTCCTCAAGCTACCCAAGCCAGCCGATTCACCGAAGGCCATCAGCATCAACTTTAGAATTTTTGTAAGTTTTCTAATCTAGTGTTAGTTCTTACTTATTTTTAGTGTTAGTTGATACAGATTTATTGTTAAGGCTGTCTTCGTGGTTGATTAGATGGGTTGCTTTAATTTTCTTCTGGGTGTTCTGTTTTGCCTTTGTATTGGTGGTTTCTGATGGTTCTGGTAAATATATAGCATGTATGAAGTATGATGGAGTTGATTGTAGTAACAAAGTGCCCCCCATGTGCTTGAAGGAATGCCAGAGTGGGTATTGGATAAAGGGCGTGTCTTGAATTTTGATTGAAATCCAGAATTAGTGTGAAGAAGTTTCGTTCTTCATCTGGGCTTTTTGCTTCGAGTTCCTTCTGTGGATTAGTTCTCGTTTAGAGAATTTTTTAATTCAAATAAATAGTAGGAAAATGGGTTTCCCGTTTGAAGCTGAAAGAAGCTAGTAAATAGGCTCTTATTATTACTTTGGGAGATTGATCGAATTGCTTCAGTATTGAAATTGGTTCACCTTTGCTATGATATGAAAGAGTTGGTCTCAGTTTATTGATTTCATGTATTTAGTGGAATTTAGAGGCGTCGTTTAGTTGATCTGAACTCGTTGCTTGCTTAAATAAACGGGTTTTTCCTTTACGGTGAATTCCTTTATTTACATGAGCCAGTGCCTAGCGATTAGGCTTAATGTGTGAGAAATGAATTTGTGGATGTGTTTTTCTATAAAGTACGACGCCATATCCCTCTTTTCCATTCTCTCTGTTTAGGTAAGACTAGAATTTGTACCCCCGCGTTGTTGCGGGGTTGAAAATTATATGAAAGATTATGGAACTGTAATCTTCATAAATAATGTTAGAGTCAAAAATTGATTTACGAACGCTAATGCAACCAATGCAATTTATTCATGACTTATAATATATGACCCAAGAATATTCATGCAGATATGAACATCATCAGCAGCAAGATCCTGAAATTTAACATTTCTTCTCTAACCACAAAACTACACAGTTAAGCAAACATGGACTGGAGCTGATTTTAAAATTCATTTAAAAGGGAATGGTAAATCTTATGCATGCCAAAGAAGATTCAGAGCAAAATCTTAAGAAACATTTCCAACTCGTTTACTTTTGGAGTGCATATATGTGTGTGTGTGTGGGTGTGTGTTTATTGTTCTTAAACTAATATATTGTACAAAATTGGGTCAATTTTCAGATTTTCACCAACCTAGCAACTTTCAATTCTTCGACAATCAACATTCACGTACACTGGTAACAAATATCGTTTTCATCTTACTTATTCCCAAGCAACAATGAAAGGATATTCCCAAGCAGCTTGCTTTCCTCCGTGCTTTTTCAATAGATACTGGAAAGATGTTCTGCAACAACTTAAATAAACATATTTAGACAGCCTAACATGGTTGGAACATTAAGTATATATCAGTCGAGCACATTACCCATAATAACACATGTACATCAAGCTTCGTAGTTTCTTGTTATGTTGGGAGTATGCGAAACCTATATCTTTTTGTTTCAAACTTTCTAGTTACATATCAATGTAGGAATCTTACAGAAAATGTCTTTGCAAAGAACAGCAGGATCTCCAAAGAAATGAATCCATCTTTTCTGCCATGTAATTCAAACTAAGCAAATAAGAGAATGGACAACACAAACTAAGCAATAAGATAATGCTATTAAACTGCAATAATTAGATAACTATACTTCAATTTGAATGGATGAACATAACTATTGTAATCATTTAGTTTACCTCCATCATTATGTCTGTGTGTAATAGACCAAATTTCAATAAGGGATATATAATTGAAAGGATCAAAAAGTCCAGCACAAAAGAAAAAATAGTTGGTAGTCCTGGTACTTTAAAACAGATAACAAAGCGAAAGCATTTGCCATTCTATGTATAAAAGCCCGACACACCCCTTGCAGAAGAACTGGAACAAAGAGCAAAGAGTTGGACAAAACTTTATACAGTTCATAGACATCATGATTTCTACTTTTATGTAAGCCATGTTACCAGACGACAACCTCCCTTGTCACAAAACCTCAAATAAATAAATTTAAAAAAAAAAAAAAAATTAGTGCAAAAGAGCCCAGCCATTTTTCTGTTCCACCCCTGCTCTCCCGTTTCTCTCTCCCCCTAATATCCATTTCTGCAAACGACAGACCTTCATGTAATTGTTTTACCATGCCATAACATGTTTTACAGAAATCAAAGGTCCAAGATCCAATAGTAAAACATATTAAAGTAAAACAATAGCCCAAATAATTATTAAAAAAGAGAAGAGAAGAATTGACATAAACCCAACAAAGATTAAACACTTCCACAGCTCCAAAATTACCTTGTCATAAGCATCTCCTCCAAAGTTCTGCTGAAACGACGACAGATCAGACAGCGCCCAGCACGGAAACTTCACCCCGTCGTGCGTCACAACTGAATCAATGGCGTATCTTGTATCCTTACACATAAATTCCAATTCTGAATCATTTAGGCTTCCAAAAAATTGCACAAAAGTGCTAAAGAAAATGAACAAACTGTTACACGCGAAGACTCACCCCAAATTGCTATGAAGGTCTGCTGCACACGCGAGCACACGTTCATAAAGCCTTTCAAAGGCTGAGATTCAACTTTCAAATATGAACACTTTAACCCACAATTGTTCTTTCTTAACTTTAGCCACTTCAGCTACATAACCGGAAAAAAAAATAATAATAATTATAGTTAGTTAATCTGGGTTAAGATTAATAAAAAAGCTTGAAAATTTCAAATCTAAAATCACACCTCAGGCTGCAAGTAGAATCAAAACCATGGAATTTCAAAACCACTCACCTTAAACACAGAGGTCTTCGCAGGCTTCAAATGTAATTTCAGCTGAACAAAAATACCCAAAAAAAGAAAAAATATGAAAATCTAATAAAAATGAAGAACAAATATTACAAATCAGATAATTAAAATTACTAAAAAGAAAAAAATCAACATGCATCAAACGCAAAACTAATCTGTAAAAGCGAGGAAATCCATTTGCAAATATGCTTTTTGGTTTCGAACCTGGAAAGTTCGGTATTTTGACCAGCACACCGAGGAATCGAAATAGAGACCCGATGAATGATGATTTCTATGGTTTAACCGCTGCTGAGATAGCCGAATCCACCAGGCACCAAAAACGGAGAGCGAGAAAGGGCGAGTTCGAGAGGAAGATAAGAGAAATCTGTGAGAAAGCAGCAAATACGAAGAGAAAAATCGAGAAGACGGACGAAAGAGAGCGGGTAGATGACTGACACGCGAACTGAAGGGACAAAACAGTCAATGGACTGCACAAAAGGGCAAACAGCAAGGGAAACCAAGAAAAAACCCAGGGCCAAAACCGCCCCCCCACTGGTCATCCACAGTACCCAACCCCTACGAGTTTTAGTATATATGATATGGTGTATCCGTCCTTAATGGATATATGTTTAACATCAAGGCTGCTCTAAGACCGAGCCGAAGCTGATGTTCTTTGTTTTTTTTCTTGGTTTTTAATAGCATACTTCTATTAGGTCTTCAAGAACTTTGAGAAATGGGTGGACTGCCTGCAAAAAATACTTCCTCTGAGACCGAGCCCGAGCCAGCCGATTCACCAAACGCCATCAGCATCAACTTTAGAATTTCTGTAAGTTTTCTAATTTAGTGTTAGTTCTTACTTATTTTTAGTGTTTGTTAATACAAATTTTTTGTTGAAGATTGTGTTACAGAATGGAGGATTAATGGTTAAATAATAGCTTAGTTGTTTACATTGAGAAAGATGTTTTGTCTTGTATTGACAATGAAACTATTATAACATGTTTTCAAAGTATGAAATCTCGTCATAGACAAATTTAGTATTTTTAGCTTGTTTAGCACAAAGATTATAAATGGAAAGTTGTAGTTTGCCATTTATTTGTTCAATGATATTTTCGACCTTTTTTTTTTTTGGAGCTTTTATATTGGAACCATCCTATGTTAAAATCCTGAATCCGTCACTACACATAAGAGAGCATGTTGAGAATGATTTCAACATTGATGAATGGAGGGACCTTACATAGACTTATAAAAGGTTGGGCTACTCTCCATATTACCAATTGATTTTATGATACAATCTCAACTTTCTTCAATTTCTCCAAGCCTTAAACCCTTCCGAAAGACTATTAAGCACCAAATCCACAATTATTAATGTGTCAACTCACGCACCGATATATAACTAGCTCTCTTCATTGGCAAATATTAAAGGTAATGATGCAACGATATCAACATTTCGTTGCTCTACCTTTTATCTATATATCCTTAAAAAATGTTTTTTTTATTACATTTTTTATATGATTATTTCACAATTTTATTATCTCTCGAATAGAAATGGAACTCACATTATTGGTGGGTCCTAGTTTTATTAGAAATATGATATGAAAAATGTAATAAGAGTAACTCTAGATATCCATCTGAATGCTCAAATAACAATTCCTCGTCGAAAAACATTGGAAAAAAAAATTGGCGATGCGCGCGTTATTGTTGGAAGGCAATGGGAATAGGCGTCTAAGCGGGAACCTAGGCTTTTTTTATTTTTTATTTTTAATGAAATTTAATATACAACATATAAATAAATGTCTATTTTATACTTTAAAATTTATATAATTGTACTTGGATATATAAATTGCAAAGTATAATTACATATAGATTATAAAGTATTAGATCATACTGAACATAGAGAACAAGCATATAACGAGTGTTCACCAAGTATTCAACAAGTCTCTTTCAATTTATTGAAGAAAAAATAATGCAAAATAAAAAGTTATCTATCTTCTATTTAAACGAGAGTCGTGACATAAGCAGGAACTTAGCCGGGTCTAGACGAGCTAGAATGACGCATTGCCAGCCTAGGCACCCTTTCTTAATTTTCAAAAACCTAGAGATTTAGGTGTCATTTCTTAATTTTCAAACACCTAGATATAAATCGGGACAATAATCAACTGCTTAACGCCTAAACAACGTTAGTGGTGATTTTAGAACACTACTTATAAAACATAATATGAGTAAATGGTTCTTTTATACACACCATCAAAGCAAAGACAAACTTGAAACTTGGGCTTCAACCCCGATAAAAACAACCATACAATGAGGCTAAACAGTGGCCACAGTACGAAAATCCTAGAAGCTCGAAAACCAGTGTTGACAAAGAAATATTGCATTACAAAGGGTTATGATTTTCACACCCGTGATTTATCCTTCCCAAAAAGTAAAGTACAAAACTACCCTACTACATTGTATAAAAGTTGTCAGAAAATATGCTGCAACAGAATCATAGAAATAATGGCTTGAAATCTCCTTTGCACCAACGAGTCAAGGGAACATAGAGTAATACTAAAATACATATGTAAATCATTTCTTGCATTCACACTTTAAAAATGTAAATAGAGATCTGTCAAAGTTTCCTTTGGCTGCATATGCTGTACAGCACCTGCAGACTCAAGTGCAACAACTCTTGTGAGGGGAAATGTTAATTTTCTTGACTTTTTGGTCCAATCATTTTAGTTTTTTTTTTTAGTTAATTTTTTTTCAAATTCATAAACTTTTTTCTTCTTTTTGTTTTTCTTCTCTTTGATTGTATATTTATTAGAGTTTCTTTTTTTAATGAACCAAAACACCTAATTCAAAAAGTGGGATGTATAGTTAGATTCTGATAACCGTTCATGCCTTCAATTAATTAGCAAAACTCATAATAAAGTGGAAAATCACCATCATATAAATGTAGAGGGAAGGGAAATGATATGATTAAGGACCGATTCATGTCATTTATGTTTGTGAAGCCCACAAAACATGAACGGTCAGGATCAGTTTACTCGCATATCCGCAATTGATTTAGCACACTTAGAATATATTAATTTCAAAATGATTAAATACAAATGAACAGTGTGAATCAGAATTGTTGGTGACATTGATTAGCATTTGTCACATTCTTTTGTAAAAATATGGGATCCCATCAATGCAAATGTTGTTTAGCTAAAAAAAATAACAAACAGAAGGTGGCTATGTGAGTCGAAATTGGAAGCCAATTATTTGATGTTAGAACTCAGAAACACTGCAACTGATTTTCCTTATCCTCTGGCATGTGAACTCATATGGCATGATGCAACACCAAACCCTAGTGCATAATATATAAAATAATAAAATCATGGGTTTGGTCATCTTAATAACAAGTCTTAATTGGGTTAATAGTCCATGAGATGATAAGGTAGTTGGAATGTGGTGAAATTTGTTAGGACTTAGGCTCAAAATTGAAAGTTTCATCAATTCTCCGTTAATTGTTATCACGTGAGCCTCACATGCTAACAATTAACGGAAATCCTGATACACCTTGACCCGAAATATCCACTTGAACACTTAATCGAGTTGTGCTGAACAACACCAAGAAGGTGATAAAGCCATAGAGTGATGGTGATGTGGAAAGTGCTACTAATTTAAACCTAAAGTAACTAATTCTAGAGTCCACGTGTGAGTGGTTTTGAACCCATATCACACAAAATGATGTCAAAACATAAGTAAAATGCAGTAAAAATAGAGTAATAATTATACCATTAAGAGTAGCCTCCTAGTTATCAGCTTTTGTCAGAGGTCCTCGTCAACAACATGAGCTCTGCTGCTAAATCTTGAAGGGGCAAAAAACAAGAATGAATTGGCCTGAAAAATAAAATTTTATTTCCAACCGCCCCTATCACCATAGAGACTAATAATCCAATTAGTCCTACTAACAAATACTAATAACAATGAACCATGCAATGTGCATAAGTTATTATTGGATTTTAGTTAACATTATTTTGTGCAAGGTCACAAATTATTAGAAAGAAAGAAAAAAAAAATAGAATCTAAATGGGCAGGCTACAAGAAAATAACAATGGAAGCCTCTCAATAATTGATGATCATTATTTTGGACTGGAATTTATTTGGTCAAAGGAAAACCTCAAATCATACTTGCCCTCGTTCACATCCACCGGCCTGGCCTCATGTGTATGCCAAGCTAAACTCAATCTCAGTTATGAGTGATTAGGTTGAACACATGTCTGTGGAATGACGCCGGGAAGTTCCGGTTCGTCCACCATTTTTCACCAATCTCCGGCGATGTCAAGGATGGTTTCGGCTCAAATTCTTTGTTGATAGAATATTGGCTAAATGCTAATTGATCGAATGGTCATCTACGACGATTATTTTACTAAGTGAATAGTTATGAAAAAATATACCGATATATAAACTCTAGAGTTGTCACGTCTTCTAATGTCAATTAATCAATTAAGAAAGAAAGAAGGCCTTGAATCTTGATGCACGCTAAAGTTATAAACAGTAGTGGGCAAGAACAAATGTACCCTCCATTGCACTTGAGTCATATGGGTTAACGTAAAGTATTATCGGCATAAGAAAAAATAACAGTACTAGCCAGGCTAGAAAACGCCATGTCATTAATAAGGTTGGGCCTTGTATTGGGCCCATTTTACACAAAATTGTGGCCTCTTGTGCATTCTTGTTGGGCCTAAGGTTACTTTAGAACACATGTAGCAAACTTATTAATTAGAACATGTTTGAAAGTGCTTTTAAAATGGTTAAAAACACTTTTGACAAAAGTGTTTTTGGTACCTATTCTGGGTAAAAATGCAAATAATCTTGGACAAACACTTGAAATGATTTTTACATGAATTACATAACTGATACTTTTTAAAAAATACACTTCAAATGCTTTTAAAGTCAAACATGCTTTAATTCTCTCCAATATTACCAAAATAAACAAATAAAAGTAGGAAATCACTAACCTTTTGGTGATGTTGTAACTGTCATTTCATTGATATTGCAGTTGACTACCACCAAGTCCATTACCCATTTCTTAATTATTTGATGATTATTCTTCTACCAAATTACCGACATGAATAATTCCTTTTTCAATAAAAAAAAAAAAAAAGATCCACTAACAGGTGGGAACAAAACCCATCATCTAATCGAAATGCATCATAAACTTGTAGCCATTGAATTGTTATATAAGGATAAGATAAGGGTTTTTAAATAGTTGGAAATTTTGATGCAGAACTAGGTGATGAATCCTAACCCTAATCATCCATGGATGCCTAGCTAAAACCTGTTTACCAGAAACTTAGTAATTCGTAAAAGCTGCATAAACCCTAGCTTGCTAGTCATTTCTAACCTAGATCGAGGTAAAGTGTAACAATTTCATACCTACTAAACCTTAGTTTGTTATATATTCATGCTTTTTGTTCAGTAACAATATTGGGACTGTTTGGATTACAAAATATATATATATCATGATGGGTAGATATTTTCAGTACTTGAATTCATGTGACATGCTATCCAATGCTGTATGCAGCTAGGGTTTTGAAAAGTATATATAGCCAAATTTTGAGCATATGCACGTTAGATATTTCTAGTCCTTTTCTTTTTCATATTTTTAGGAATTACAACCACTCGATGGGATCTCGAGAGGGCTCAAGCACTACTCAAATGGGTCTCGAGAGAGCTCAAACACTGCTCGGAGGGGTCTCGAATGACTGTATTCCACTTCCACATAGGGGGCCTATATATGTGTTTGTCAGGTGGCAAGTCTTTTTCTTCCACCCATCGCTCCCAATCATTTTATGCAGCTCTTACTCTTCGATGAGCTGTGGTTGTTTCGCATGTTCAGTAGTCAAGTCGCCGTGCTCCGGCTATATGTGTGGCATTAAATGGACGATCCAATCGACCCAAAAAAAAAAAGGACGATCCAAAAACTTGCATGTATAGTTGACATCGTGGCCTAGTTTGCAACGTGAAACACAATTGTACCAGAGAGATAATTGAAGGGGACTAGAGCCTATACGACAACGGACTATCTATCACAATAATTTGCTTTTGACTAGCATTGGCAATCATTCAGATTATAAAGAAAATAATGTTGTCGGACTTAACACCATTCAATAAATATCTCACATGCGTCGACATTTCTCCTTACTTTTTAGTTGAAATTATAACTGATTAAAAAGGTAAGTAGTCTCACGAAAACTACAACATTGAGCCTAGAACCAACAAAAAATGGGCAAGCAACACAAAAGTAAATAATGTTGTGGGAACTTAACACCATTTAATAAATATTTCACACGCGTCGACATTTATCCTTATTTTTTAGTGAAATTACAACTGATTAGAAAGGTAATTTACCCCACGAAAACTACAACATTAAGCCTAGAACCAACAAAAAATGGACAAGCAACACAAAAGTAAGTTTTTAGGGTAAAGTACAAAAAACTACCTCAACTATTGCGGTCACGACAGTTTCATACCTCATTTTTTAAAATTGACAATGTCATGCCGCATCTTACGAATTTGTGACAATGTTATACCTCCGTCAATTTTTCTATTAAGTGCTAACGTGGAAAGAGACTGGGACCACTTTCTATTAAAAAATTATTAAAATATTATTAAAAACTAAAAAAAATATTTAATATTTTTTAAATATTAAAATAATAAATAAAAGTAAAATTAATAAAAAAAAATAAAAAAATAAAAAAAAAACCTTAGTCGTCCCTTCCCTCCCCCTCTTTCTGTTCCCCATCTTCATCTTCTTTAATATTTTTTAAATAATAAAATAATAAATATAAATAAAAGTAAAAGTAAAATTAAAAATAAAAAATAAAAAAATAAAAATCTTAGTCGTCCCTTCCCTCCCCCTCTCTCTATTCCCCATCTTCATCTTCTTCTGCTTAATCTTTAACACAAAATAAAAAATAAAAAAATAAAAAAATTTGAAAACCCAACCCCACCTGCCCACCCCCCCCCAACCCCAAGAGGAGAAGGAGGAAGAACCGAAGAAGAAGAAGGAGGAAGAAGAGGAGGAGGAAAAAAAAAAAAAAATTTGAAAACCCAACCCCACCCGCCCCCCCTAGGAGAAGAAGGAAGAACCGAAGAAGAAGAAGAAGAAGGAGGAAGAAGAGGAGGAGGAAAAAAAAATTGGAAACTGCAACCCAGAAAAATAAAATAAAAAATAAAAAATAAAAAAATAAAAACCAGAAGAAGGAAGAAGAAAGAGAAGAAAGAGAGGGGAAAGGGGATGCCGCACCCCTAGGAATTTTTTTTGTTTTGTTTTCTTATTCTTAATTTTTTTAATATTTAATTATTAAAAATATATTTAATTATTTTTTAATCCAGCTGGATTAGTGAGTGGTCCTTATCTCTTGCCACGTCAGCACTTAACAGAAAAATTGACAGAGGTATGACATTGTCACAAATTCGTAAAATGCGGTATGACATTGTCAATTTTAAAATATGAGGTATGAAACTGTCGTGATCCCAATAATTGAGATAGTTTTTTGTACTTTACCAAGTTTTTATGATTCATACCCGTCGACATTAATTTCTCCCAACGTTGGAATGGTATTGGAGCAGAAATCATATATAAAAAATAAAAAATAAATAAAAAAAAAAACATTGGAAAAACACGCGGTCGGCAGGATTCGAACCTGCGCGGGCAAAGCACACACATGATTTCTAGTCATGCCCCAGAACCGCTCCGGCACGGCAACTTGATGGGACAGTATGACTAATGTTCAATCAAACTCACTTGACGGTAAAGTATGGGAATAAAAAGGACTGCAGGAGTATCAATCAAACTCACTACACTAATATTCATAAGAATAAAAAAGAACACTACACAGAAAATATAAATAAAGGAGGGATACTTTCAGAATTAAACATAACTATGTTGTTGATACAAACGATTTCGTGGATGTGTGAGCAATGAAGCAGTGTTATCTCACACAAATGCATGGGTTAATACTCTTGATCAGCAGAGTTGTGCAAGTTCAAATCTAACTCCAAATCTCAAGTATTAAAATGAACGCTCTTAACCAACAAAGATATGAGTACCTTGCCAAATACAAATATAACTAATAAAGATGGACTGGCAGCCTAGGTTCCATAACAGCGACAAGTGGGAACTTCCGAGGTGTGACCAATCCAAAAGTTTCCTCCATACCCAAATCTTCCACTTTCACATTTCCAGGCAACTTCCAATTAAAACCATGCAACATGTTAGCCAAACAAGTTCTTATCATCTTCAGCCCTAGCTTATAACCGGGGCACATCCTCCTCCCCGACCCAAACGGCAGCAACTCAAAACTCTGTCCCTGCAAATCAATCCCAGTATTCCCTAAGAACCTCCCTGGCCTAAATTCTTCTGGTTCTTCCCACAGTTTAGGGTCTCTCCCCATGCTCCACGTGTTCACAAACACTACGGTTCCTTTGCAAACATCGTAACCTGCCACGTTGGAGTTTTCAACGGCTAGATGTGGTGGCAGAATTACAACCGCAGGATGCCTCCTCATTGTCTCTTTCATGATCGCATCTATGTAAGGAAGTTGTGCTAGGTCTTTCTCTTCTACCCATCTCTCTCGCCCGATCACTCTGTCAAGTTCTTCTGTTGCCTTTTTTATGAGGTTTGGTTGTTTTATGAGCTCAGACATTGCCCACTCTAAAACTGTTGCCGAGGTATCAGTGCCTCCAGCTATTAAGTCCTGGTTTAAATTTAAATGGGCAATTATGTTTTATAGATGGTTAGTCAAAAACGAGAAATATATATTAAACATGATAAGTATGTAATTAAGTGTATAGAATGCGTGTAAGATGTGTACATATCTCAGAAATATTAACAATTGAATGGATTTGGGATCATATATTATATATACCTGAATGAATGCCTTGATACTGTCATAGTTGAGTTTAACTTCAAGATCACTTGAACCATCAACCAGCTGCAGTAGTAAATCCACCATGTCCTTTGGCACAAATTCCTCCACTCCTTCCTTCCGCGCCTTGTGTTCATTGAGCACGAAATCATAAAACCGATTGATTTTTTTCTGTATGGCCTTCATTCGCTTTATGTATCCTTGCAAGTCCAAGAAATTAAGCCATGGTATCCAATCCCCAATGTTAAACACCCCACTAAGCACAAACAACTCATCTATCATGTCCTGAAATTCTTCGAGTGACATTATAGAGCCCTCGTATTCGGCCACGCTAAAATAATCCTTACCTAACACAGTTCTGCTCATAATGCTAAGATTAAGGCGTGACAGATGCTCTTTGAGCACAATTGGGTTACCTGACTTGGCGATGGCATAGAGTCGCGATGTAAAAGCGTGATTTTCGTCGACACGAATGTACTCAAAGGACTCTAGCCTTTTGGAACTAAACAACTCGTAGAGAAAGATTTTCCGGCCTTGACGCCAATATGGACCGTAAGGTGACCAAGTGACATTTTGGTAGTCATAGGTGAGGTACTTGCCTGCTGCAGTTGGAGGCCTAGAGGAAAACACATGATCATGTGTCTTCAAAAATTGTTTAGCCATTTCTGGAGACGAGGCAACTACAACTGGGCGGGAGCCAAACCTGAGTTGCATTATGGGTCCATAAGATTGGGATAATTTGTGAAGGGAATGATGTGGGAGAGGACCAATGAGGTTGAGGTTTCCAATTATAGGCCAGGGTTTGGGACCTGGTGGAAATTTTTGTTTCTTGAGTTGGGGAAACAAGGTTTTTGAGACAAGGGCTAGAGTGGCGAGGCATGCCAAGGTTAAAATTACAGCACAAGATAAGTACTCCATTGTGTGGATTGTGGCTGCAATGGTGAACGGTTGAGAGTTGTGATCTTATATAGTTGAAGTAGTAGGTGGTTACTTGATATCAGAATTAAAAACTTTATCTTGTTTAATTGATATCAGAATTAAAAACTTTAGTTGTGATCTTAGGTAAGATATTTTTCGATGAAAAGAAAAGTAGAAGATATTTTATAATTTTTAACTGTTTGGAATTTTAATTAAATATCATTAAAGATCTAATTGAGTTGCACTAAAGTATGCTATAAGAAATTTTGATTTCAAGTTGAATTTTAGTATGGTGATCATTAGAATTTTTTTTATCAATTGAGTATTATTAATGGCATAAATCATTTTGTTTGTAAATGACTACATTTTGAATTTTTGAGTTTGTTTGGATGTTATTAAATACTTGTATCAATGTCAATTTTTTTAACGAGCCTACAAGCAGAACCCAAACCGAAACCAAAACCGTTTGAAACTAAACCAAATTAAAACTAAATGATTTGGTTCCAATTCAGTTGTTACCCTAAAACCGAACCGAACTAAACTAATTTTAGTTTCAATTTTAACTTTACCCTAAAACGACACCAAATCATTTAAAAGGTTTTCTTTCGATTTTGAATTGACCCTAAAACGACACTAAATCATTTAGAAGGTTTTCTTTTATTTTTTGGGTACAAATCATTAAAAACGTTTATGTTGTTTAATGGATGCAGAAGATTCGCAGGAAATAATTTTTTAAAAATACACCCCTTGTGGTAATGGAGATATTTGCGGAGATGTTGTTTTCAAAATGATTGCCAAAATATTTGCAGAGAGAGTGTTTCCCAATTTTTTTTTCACGCACCTATCCCCGTTGCAAACAGTGAAAGATATGGGGTGGGTACAAGTATATGATAAGCCAGTCGCCAAAGATTCATTTTCCAGCTCCGCTCTTCATAAATTTCTAAATATTTTAAGAAATTATTATTGACATTTTAGAATTGTGAACGGATGTGTGATATTATTTTTTTTACATAAGTTTTTGTAGAACAACAGTAATACTAGATAAATAAAAAATCATTAAAATATTCAGTTATAGATAAATATGATTCCACAAAGAACCCCTAAAGCCTTAATCAAATAGTCATAGGGCTTCAAAATTGGACACTTTTGGTAGACATGATCTTTGAGGGAAAATCTAAAAGATAGACGATTCGAATCGTTAAAATATATTACAAAGTTGACTCCACAAAAACTTACACAAAAAATTATGTAAAAAAATGATCTCACACATTCATCCCTTAAAAATTTAATTATAAACTTTAAATCTTTTATAGTAAAAATAAAAATACTTATATGAGAAGTGCGCAATTAAATTTTCAGAATATCAATAATAGTTTTCATATTCTATTGTCAAAACACTAAAAAAATATTAACATGAATGCTACATTATAATTCTAAAAATAAAATGAATAAAAAATGCTACATGCAATAGGCTTAGGTACGTTGTACGTACAAGTCCCTTGTGCTAGGTGATGTGATTTCTACAAACCTTACACCCTTCCGAAAGATCGTAACTCACGCACCGAGATACAACTAGCTCTCTTCATTGGCAAATATTAAAGGTAATGATGCAACGATATCAACATTTCGTTGCTCTACCTTTTACCTATATATCCTTAAAAAAATATTTTTTTATTACATTTTTTATACGATTATGTCACAATTGTATCATTTTTCAAATAGAAATAAGACTCACATTATTGGTGAGCTCTAATTCTATTAGAAATATGATACAAATATGATATGAAAAATGTTATAAAAGTAACTCTAGAAGTCACATCCTGGCCCGGGGCGGATCACTTCCCGGCCCCGCTCCACCACCGTAGAACGATATTGTCCGCTTTGGGCTTACCATTACCGTACCATTCCCTTACGGTTTTGTTTTTGGGAACTCACGAGCAATTTCCCAGTGGGTCATCCATCATGGGATTGCTCTAACCCCTTTCTCGCTTAACTTCGGAGTTCCTACGAAACTCGAAGCCAGTGACCTCCCAAAAGGCCTCGTGCTAGGTAGGGATAGGAATATACATATAAGGATCACTCCCCTGGGTGATGTGGGATGTCACAATCCACCCCCCTTAGGGGCCCGACGTCCTCGCCGGCACACCACGGCCAGGGTTAGGCTCTGATACCAAATTGTCATATCCTGGCTCGGGGCGGATCACTTCCCCAGCCCGCTCCACCACCGTAGCACGATATTGTCCGTTTTGGGCTTACCATTCCCTCACGGTTTTGTTTTTAGGAACTCACGAGCAACTTCCCAGTGGGTCACCCATCATGGGATTACTCTAGCCCCCTTTCTCGCTTAACTTCAAAGTTCCTACGGAACTCGAAGCCAGTGAGCACCCAAAAGGCCTCGTGCTAGGTAGGGATGAAAATATACATATAAGGATCACTCTCCTGGGTGATGTGGGATGTCACACTAGATATCTGTCTGAAAGCCCAAATAACAATTCCTCATCAAAAACATTGGAAAAAAAAAATGGCGATATTCGCACTATTGTTGGAAGGCAATGGTAATAGGCGTCTAAGCAGGGACCTAGGCTTTTTTTTTTTAAATAATTTTAATGAAATTTAATATATAACATATTAATACATGTTTATCTATACTTTAAAAATTACATAATTGTACTTGGATATATAAATTGCAAAGTATAATTACATATAGATTATAAAGTATTAGATCATACTAAAAGCATAGGGAACAAGCATATAATGAGTGTTCACCAAGTATTCAATAAGTCTCATCCAATTTATTAAAAAAAATAAAATGCAAAATAAAAGTTATTTATCTTCTATCTAAGTGAGAGTCGTAACATAGGCAGGTGCTTAGGCAATTCTAGACGAGCTAGAATGGCGCCTTACCTGCCTAGGCACCATTTCTTAGTTTTCAAAAGCCTAGAAATTTAGGTGTCATTTCTTAATTTTCAAACATGTAGAGATAAATCGAGACAGTGACCTGCCGCTTAACATCTAAACAGCATTAGTGGTGACTTTTAGATCACTACTTATAAAATATAACACGAGTAATAGTTCTTTTCTACGCACCATAAAAACAAATACAAACTTGGGCCTCAACCAGATAAAAACAAGAGTAAATTGTAGTAATGGTCCCTCAACTACAAATTCATTACCATTGGTCCCTTAACTTATCAAAATGTGTAGCTATAGTCATTTTCATCAATTTCATCAAAATTTTGTCAAAATAAGTTATGTTGGGATAACCTTTTATATAATAATGTTCCCTCAACTCATTAAAGTGTGTAATTATGGTCATTTTCGTCAACTACGTCAAAAGTTTTGTCAAAACGAGTTATGTTGAAAGGACCATTGCTCCAATTGGGTTAAAGTTAAGGGATCATTTCTCCAGTTGAATTAAAGTTGAGGGACCATAGCTACACGTTTTGATAAGTTGAGGGACCAATGGTATTGGATTTTTAAACAATGTATGAGGCTGCAAAGTGGCCACATTAGGAAAACCCTGGAAGCTCGAAAACCAGTCTTGACAAAGAAATATTGCATTACAAAAGGTTATGATTTTCACACTCGTGATTTATCCTTCCGCGCTTCTTCCATTCCTCATGTCCCTTATTCTTCATTGATTTTTATTATATCCCAAAAAATAAAGTGCAAAAGACTATATATCCTACTACATTTTATGGCTAATCCTATATGAGATTTAACCTACTTTTCTACCGTCTTAGTGTAGACATTATCGTTTGTTTAAAAAACAAAAAACAAAAAAACTCTATCTTACTACAAATTCTAATTGTTGAAACTTGAAAGCCCCAATTTCCCAATATAACAAAAAACAAAGTGTGTCCAGCTATCCATAAGCCCAAAAATACCCAATGATAATTTAAAACCTGGAAGCCCAATAATGAAACAAATTAAAGCCCTACTCAACATGCTTATTAAAAAAAAAACGTGCTCATTCAAAAAAGAGAGATTTTATTTGAATCCACATAATCTCTTTCTACACTTAACTTAAATTTTAAATGTTAATTGTTTTTTTTATCATATTGTATAATTACCATCAAATACAATATAAAATTAATAATAAAACTTAAATTTATCAATAAACTCACACCCTTTAATTAAACCCACCATCACTCCTTGTTTATTCTACGTTTATTCCGGCTAAAACTCTAATAGCTCTTATAGAGAAAAACAAACTCTTTTTTTTTTATTTTTTATCTATAGATGGTGATTTTGAAGTTCTGAATACTCCTAAGGTATAAATCAATTTGTGAAAAAAAAAAATCATTTGATTTCAATTTTTTAGAGTTTAGAAGATGAATATTTGGGTTTCATTTTTTTCGTCAATCCAGGTTGCGCATAGTTTGTTAAACTTTCTATAGGAAATAGTGCAGATGTTACAAAAGATGTTGCAGACACTAAATTTACTTGATACGAAATCCTATCTACAACAACCACAGTAAAAGTATTAATAATTTGTTGCAAACACCAAATTTATTGGATACTAAACCCTTTCTATGGAAAGTAGAAGTATTAATAATTTGTTTGGCATATTAGAAAGAAAAAATCGTTTCTTTGGCATTACAATTTGTTGTCGTATTAGTTTGTCCTCCCATATTAAGCAGGCATTAGTTACCATGCCATCACTGACCTTTCATGAATAAGTTGATAGCCCATGAAAATTGAGGGGCCTTTGTTTTACTAGGAAGATTATACAAAAAAGATCAAATAAGATGCACACATAGGAGATGCCATAGTGTTGTAAAAAAGCTCCATTTGGAAATTTGAAACTTAACGAAAAAATCAAATAAGATGCAGTGAAGCAATTGATAGAAAAATTCAGAGAGAAATTTAAAAAAGCTCAGTCACTAGCTAAAAGCTTAAGAGGAGACAAAGGGCTAAAAGCTCTGTTTCAAAGAACTCAAGGTGGGAGGGGAGACAAAGGACCCAAAAGATTTTTTATTTCAAGTTTCTTTAAATACACAACCTTTGAAGCATCTTCTTCTGCTCAAGAAAATCTATTATTCCCAC